GATAAGTTGAGGGGAGTTTGTAGGGAATTTTAGAAGAAAAGTTTTCAAATGGAGCATGCAGATTCTGTTAAAGGGGGAACATAGGGTTTATTTTTTTTTCATGCATTATTTTGTTGCTGTTGTGTTTTTCTTTTTTCTAAGGTGTGGGAGAGCCGATTTGCTTCTCGAAAGTAGATCATCTTTCATCTTTGTATCTTGCTTGTTTTTTTCATTGATAGCACTTATTTGTGTTTTTCCACCTATCTGTTACGATTTTGTTATGGTTTGTTGATTTTAATGTCAAGGCGTATTAAATTGGTATTAGAGCCTAGATCTTGGTGGGTTGGCAACAAAGAAAGCTGATGTGTTAAGGGGAGGTGGAGCAAATTCGATCCGAAATGGGAGAAATGTTTGCTATCATGGAGTACAAATTTTCTTTTATTGAAAGTTGAATGAATGGTGGATTTGAAGGCATACGGGAAATGCGAGAGATGGTGAAAAAACTCATGGAGATGCAATCTAAGGCCGTGCCGACCGCTCCAACTGCAAACCCCAACCAAGGGTTGATCAGGAAATCCTTGGCTAGGTCAAAAGGGAAGGAGATCGAGCGAGAAGAAAACGAAGAAGACATCTACCTACAAGAGCGTCCCCCTAGGACTTTGATAGGAGAGGGAGTGGATACTTCCGATGGAGGGGGATGGGCCGAAAATTGGAGGGATGGTAGAAAGGGCATAAAAGAGTACGATGGAGGAAGGAGGGAATCGGGAGTGGGATATGTCTATGACCACAGGAAGTAGTTTCACCCTAGATACACGGGGGGAATTCCGGAGGGAGAGGAAGTTAGGGTGGAGATGCAAGGCTCAGGAAATTGAAGATGTTAATCTTCAAAGGGGAGGATGGACATTGATGGTTATATAGGGTGAAGCGATGCTATGCAATCAATGGATTGAATGAGGAGGAGAAGCGCATGACAACAGGATTATGCTTGGAGAGGAAGTCTTTACCCTTGGTTTCAGTGGATGGAGGCAAGATATTCGATACACTCATGGGAGGAGTTTAAGGAGTTTAAGGATTGCTTGTTGGAAACGTTTTCGAGTCATTTGTAAAGGAGACCTACATAAGTAATTCTATACTCTAACTTAGAAAGGGACGGTTATGGAGTACCGAGAGAAGTTTGAGCTTTCGTTAGGAAGGTTGAGGAGGATATCTGCAGTAGGCTTGGAAGGGAACTTCTTGAAACATCTGAGGCTTGACCTACAAGTGACCATCCGCCCCTTGAGATTGCGTGGATTGAGGGAGATGATGGAGGATAATAAAGAGGTGAAGAAGACAGACAAAGATGACAATGTCGGGGGATTCTATAAGAGCATCGTGACAGCCACGATACTGAGGACTCAGACAATGTCATTTTAGAAAGAGACTTCGAAGGAGAAGAGTACCGGACCCCGTCCCTGGGGTAATTTCAAGCGCCTCACATACGCAGAAGTGCAGGACAAAAGAGCTAAAGGATTGTGTTATCGTTGTGATGAGAAATATGCCCCAGGACATCGTTGCAAGGGACGTGTCCTTCAGGTTCTTTTAGTTCAAGAGGTGGATACAAAGAGTGAGGGTTTAAAAGAGGAAGCAGTGGAGGAGCATTTGAATTTGGATGTGGCAGATGTGGGGTTGGATCGGGAAGCAGCCGATTGTGGGGTTGCTGGATGGCAATGCCACACATAACTCTATTTTAAATCAAGTTGTGGAAAAGTTAAGAGTTTTAGCTGGTGACTATAGGGAGCTTTGATGTCATGATGGGGATAGGGAAGGTGAAGGGAAGTAGGGAAATTTTAATGGGGTTGGTTCTGACACTATATTACCTACAGGTGATGGAAGACTTCCTTTAAATTTGGGCAACACAAATGTTATTCTGGGGATGATGTGACATATTGAGAGAAATGAAGATTTATTGGAAGTCCTCGATGATGAAGTTCCAAGTAGAGGGTAGGAAGGTGGCGTTGAGAGTAGATGCTAGCTTATGCAAAACCATGATGTCGCTAAATTCCATGGTCATGTCGATTCGGGGAGCAGGACTGTGCTGCTTGGTGGAGTTGGAGGGCATTGTGGAGTTTCAAGATTCAAAGTTGGCAGAGTTCAGGAGGGGTTCAACAGCTCAGACACTAGTTTACTGATGTTTTCCAACAGCCAAGAAGGTTACCCCCTCGAAGGGAGCACGAGCACATTATTACATTGAAGGAGGGTGTTTCTCCCATCAACGTCATACCATATAGATACCCCCAGTTTCGAAAGGATGAATAGAGAAGCTGATCTGAGTGATGTTCTTGGTTGTCAGGCCTAGTGTAAGTCCTTTTTCCAGTCCTATTCTGTTGGTGAAAAAAAGAGATGGTAGTTGGAGATTGTGCGTGGACTACCGGACTTTGAATAAGGAAACAATATCGGATAAGTTTCCTATTCCTTTGATTGATGAGTTACTGGATGTGCTTTATGGTTTTAGTTATTTTTTAAAATGTTGATCTGAAGGTGGGGTACCACCAGATCAGGATGAATCCGACAGATGTACACAAGACATCATTGAGGACACATGAATGACATTATGAGTTCTTAGTGATGCCGTTTGGCCTCACCAACGCCCTGACGACATTTCAGTCCCTTATGAATAGGGTTTTTCAGCTATATTTTTGGAAATTTGTCCTGGTTTTCTTAATGATATTCTGATCTACAGTCGTATAAAGACAACAAGTGGGGCACCTGAGGACAGTCTTGGAGCGTTGAGGGAGCACCAATTATATGCCAACTTGAAGAAATGTAGTTTTGCACAGGTGCTGGTGGAGTACCTGGGACATGTGGTGACCGGAAAATGCGTAGCAGTGGATCCGTCCAAGATTGAAGCTATGGTTGATTGGCCCTTACCAAGGAGTTTGAAGGAGGTGAGAGGATTCTTGGGTTTCATCGACTATTACAGGAAATTCGTGAGAGAATATGACACGATAGCATGACCACCGACTGAGCAGTTAAAGAAAGACAATTTCAAATGGAGAGAAGCAACAACACAGACCTTTGAACAACTGAAGAGGGCAATGACCAGTGTATCGTTATTAACACTTACATATTTCAGTAAAACATTCGTGCTGGAGTAGGTTGCATTAGGGTACTGATTAGGAGCAGTGCTCGTGCAGGATTAGTGGTCGATTGCCTACTTCGGCCAAGTTGTTATTGCCAAAGTGAGGTTAAATTCAGTATATGAGTGGGAATTGATGACAATTGTTTTGGCTATTCAGAAGTGGCGGCCCTGTCTGTTGGGACGACATTTTTTGGTCAGGATAGATCGGAGAAGTTTAAAGTTTTTTCTAGAGCAACAAATGATAACTGAGGATTATCAGAGATGACTATCCAAGCTACTGGGGAATGATTTTGAGATTTAGTACTGACCATAATTGGAGAACAAGGTAGCTGACGTGTTGTCGAGAAAGGCGGAGGAACTGCAATTGACGTGCAGACGTGGAGGACATGATAGCAAAATGTGATGTGACACAAGAGAGCGAAAGGGATGAGGAGCTTAGGAAAATAAGGGATGAATTATTACAAGATCCAAACCTTCATCTTGGGTATGCATTGAGGGGACAACAACTGCTCGACGAGTGACGATTTGTGCGACCCAAGTCGTTGGAGTACATTCTCATATTATTACAAGTGTTTTGTGGCAGTGCGATTGGTGGTTATTCAGGGGTGTAGAAGATCTACAATCATCTTGCGGCGGAGCTTTATTGGGTGGGAATGCGTAGAGACGTGGAGGGCATGATAGCAAAATATGATGTGTGCCAACGCCACAAGTAATTGACAACAACATCACGGTTGTTATAACAACTATTAGCATTGTTGGAGAAGGCTTGAAAAGAAGTGTCAATAAATTTTATTACAGGGTTGCCACAGTCATAAGGGTTCACGGTGATTATGGTAGTTGTGAATCACTTAAGTATGAACATTTCATTCCCTTACGACATCCCTACACTGCAGTCTCAGTTGCGGTGGTGTTTATCCGGGAAGTAGTCCGTTTGCATGGAGTGTCAGAATCAATTGTGTCATATAGGGACAAGGTGTTCCTCGGCCACTTCTGGATGGAGCTATTTAGGTTGCAAGGGACAATCCTTAAAAGAAGCACCACATATTATCCCCAGACTGATTGGAAGACGGAGGTGATCAACAGGAACGTGGAGACATGCTTGTGTTGTTTTGTATCTGATATACTAAAGTTGTGGGCTAAGTGGATTACATGGGCTGAGTATTGTTATAATACTTCATACCACATTGCCGTATAGACAACCTATTTCAAGATATTGTATGAACAAGATTGATCTCATTTGATACATTATGGGCATATCATTACACTGGTATCCAACGTTGATTGGTACTTGGAGGAGAGGGACAAGATACTAGCAGAGCTCAAGGGGCATCTTTTGATGATTCAATAAATCATGAAGAAGAAAGTGGATGGACACAGTAGAGAGGTGCAATTCGAACCAGACGACATGGTCTGCTTGAAGCAAGGTCCTACTGACATAAGACATTGGCTTGGAGGAGAAACGAGAAACTTTCATCGAGATACCTTGTGTCTTTTGAGTTGATTACACACATCAGGACAGTGACCTACCATTTGAAGTTACCATCTTCATCTGCGCTACACCTAGTTTTCAATGTATCTCAACTAAGATGAGCGATTGGAGATCACATACCCTTATCACACTATCGCTGACGTTGAAGGAGAACTTGGATGTGATTCTAGAACCATTAGAGATCAAGGGAGTGTGACGAGGAGTGAAAGAGGTATTGGTTAAGTGGGGTTGCCAGACTATGAAGCAACGTGAGAGCCTTACGAGGTGATCCACAAACAGTTTCCATCCTTTCACAGTGATGACAATATTTAATTAGTGTCATGTATAGTTATTTATTTATCAATTTGGTTCAGCATATTTACGATTTTGCAATGACATTTTTCACTTTTTAAGAACTTTATCCTCATTCTGCAGGGATAATATTGCTGTGTACGCGACCGATTACCAAATAAATTTTATGCTTGGTTACTGCTCCGTGTACATCTTTATGCAGACATTCATGATTCCTGGTACCATATTCATGTCCCTTCTGGCCGGAGCTCTTTTTGGAGTCAGCAAAGGTCTCGTTCTCGTGGTTTTTACTGCCACTGCGGGTGCATCTTCCTGTTATTTCCTCTCAAAAATAATCGGCCGCCCTTTAGTCAGTTGGCTTTGGCCCGAAAAGCTAAGGTTTTTCCAGGCAGAGGTAAAAATATCATCTTTAATTCCTCTACGAACTTCTGAATGACCCTTACCTACTTTTTAGGAAGATTTAAATACATACCACTTAGTTCATTTGTATTTACATATCTAACATTTAAACTTTATTTTTTACATATATGCCAATGCCTCCTTATTTATGCATGAAAAGGTGTATTTCACTTTTGAATAGTGAAAATATTGGTGTTTTTCATCTCTCATGTCAAGATTTGCATGGTATAAATGTAAAGTTTAGGACTTAGATATGTAAATACATAGGAATTGGTTGTCATGTATGTAAATTTTCCTTACTATTTATCGATGCCGCATTCATTTCTTACATGTATGAATGCAGATTGCCAAACGCAGGGAAAAGCTTCTCAACTACATGCTCTTCTTAAGGATAACTCCAACCTTACCCAACACATTTATAAACTTGGCGTCACCCATAGTCGACATACCATTTCACATATTCTTTTTTGCAACTCTAGTTGGCCTTATTCCCGCTTCTTTTATCACTGTTAGAGTAAGTCCCCCCTAATCATTTAAACCATTCTAAACCATATCTTGTGCTAAAAATGAAGTAAAGAATCTCAATGGTGCTTTTTGAACAACAGGCAGGCCTTGCTCTAGGGGACCTAAAGTCTCTGGGAGATCTGTATGACTTAAAAACCTTGGTGGTTCTCTTCTTGATTGGTTCTGTTGCAATATTTCCAAGTATTCTGAAGAGGAAGCGTACATACGAATGAACCTTAACAGGTACACATCAGGAATAAGAATGGAGCATTAAGGATTATAATATACAGGCTTTTGCTTCTTAACGGCTAAGCAAAAGATAGGGCGAGCACACAGTTAGGGTTTCTTCTTTTTGTTTAACCAGATGCTGATATATAATATATAGAGTTGGTGCTCTTTTGGCAGCCAATGATTAGTGGAAAGAAGAGGCGGTGTTGCGAAGAAAGTTTACACTATTTCGACCAATCATTGGCTGCCATGTGAGCCAGTGGTGGTAGGTATTTGGGTGTGACAGCTTCCTTTTATATTGCTTCACCGCTTAAGTAGAAGTTTTAGGAGGTGGAGTGTATTTTTAATGTGATGTTTGGTATTTGGCGGGATTCTTTATGCCATAATGTTGATTATGTCTTTTATTAGAAGATTTACAATGCATATCACTCATTGCTTATGTATTTACACACCTAACAACTAAACTTCAATTTTTAAGTACTATATGTATGATTTGGGTGGTGTAAATGTAAAAGAGTAAACTTTAGGTGTTTTAGATGTAAATACTTGGGAATTGGGTATTATGGATGTAAATGCCCCTTCTTTATTTCAAGTTAGGTTTTACGGCACTCTCCTCAGCTTTGCCTTCTTGTGGTGTCTTTTTTGATCGTTGTGATTTTCCGATCCAGGCTTTTACCCAACGCAATTTCAATATATCTCTCGACTTGAGACTTTCTAAAAGTAATATATATATATATATATAA